TCTTGGGCAGAGGGTTCGGTTCAGTGCCCGGCGCTTTGATGCCGAGGTTTTTCAGCCTGAGGCAGACATGGTGCTGGAGAAGGATCTGAGGATCCTCCATCATTTTTCAAACTTTAAAAAATTATTTATTTACTCTTATTTCATTTGCATTAGTATTTTACCTGCATGTATGTCTGTGTGAGGGTGTCAGATCTTGGGCTTACAGACAGTTGTGAGCTGCCACGTGGGTGCTAGGAATTTAACCCAAGTCCTCTGGAAGAGCAGTCAGTGCTCTTACCCACTGAGCCATCTTTCCAGCCCCTGAGTATCCCACATCTTGAGCCATAGGCAACAGGAAGTGAACTGAGACATGGTGTGGCTTGAGCATGTAAAAGACATCAAAGCCTGCCTCTACAGTGACACACTTTCTCCTACAAATATTGCCACTCTCTATGAGCTTATGTGTCGCATCTGCCACGCAGCCTGTGTCTGAGAACGTGCAGAGGGTGTCGGCCAAAAAGGCTCAAGAAAACTTCCTAAGAAAGGCTCCCTCCAGAGAAGTTTCTGCTCTCTCCTCTACCCTGGCTGGTTCTCTCTGACCCCAGAAACTGATCTGGGCGTGTCAGAAGAGGCAGTTAGTCTTTGGACAATGTCGAGGTCAGGGCAGTTTCTGTGGGCAGGCCTTTTCCAGGAACTTATTGCCCCGGGCATTGTATTGTTTTTAGTAAACATGTTTTTAGTAAACATTGTCTTACAGCTGCCTACTCCCAGGCAGAAGGGGAAGTGGGTCTCTGCTCAAGGTCTGGTGTTCCCACACTTATGGGAGCCAATTACATTCAAACTACCACAGGAGGGGTGGGTGGGTTCTTGGGTAAGGGTCCTATGAGACTCCTCACACCCTTTTCAAAGAGTCAACAAGCCCAGGTGTGCTGCTCTCTGGCCAACAGGTTCTGCTGAATTCCAGCAGATGACAGCCATTTGGCTCAGAGAATAGTCCAGCAGTACAATAGCTTCTGACATCTCCATACTTTTCTTGGCCCTCGGTGCCCTTCAATACCTGGTCTCCGCCTGTGGTTGCTCTACCCCTGTTGTAATATTGCTTTCTCCACCCTTTCCCCATCCCTGGGACAGGGTTTCTCTGTGTAGCCCTGGCTGTCCTGGAACTCACTCTGTGGATCAGGCTGACCTAGAACTCAGAGATCCTCCTGCCTCTGCCTCTGTCTCCTGAGTGCTGGGATTAAAGGTGTGTGCCATTGTTGTGCCCAAACTCTGAACCCCCAAATCACCAAGAGACCTGATCCGATGCAAAAGCAAAGAGTCTTTAATTAATTAACAAGTTAACTGTATTAACTCGGGTCCTGTGTCCTTCTGACATAGTGGGTGGAGCAAGAAGGACCTGGAGGGACTGTGGGGCAGGGAATATATTGGGGTAGAGCAAGGGGAGTGTCTGGGGGTCTGCAGCAGTCCCAGGATTGGTGCACTTTCGGGCTTGGGTGACCTGTCCCGAATTGATTGGTCAGCTGCAGCAGCAGGTAGGTTGCTATGGCCTATAGGCCCTCCCAGGGCGGTTGCTATGCTTTGCATTCCACTGTTACCGGGGCCTACATCTCACTGGGTCTTTTCTGCAGCCTGTTATGACTACCAAAACCAAGGGGCTGAGTGAAGGTCTGGTCCCTTCACCATCACCGCCTGCCTGTAATATTGCTTTGAGGATAGGTGCCTTGTCTTCTCCATTCTGTCCCCTGCAAGTCCAGCACAGAGCCCAGTATTCAGTAGGTGCTGAGAAAATGTGACTTGATTGAATGAAAGGAGCCCTAGTGGCACCCAAATCACATAGGCAGAACAAATGAACGGAAGAAAAGCCGGGTAGCTGGAAATGAGAATTCCAGCTGTGCCTTCTGTCTCACAGCGGTAGATGGGGCAACTGCATGTTCTCCCTGGGCAGGGTTATGCAAGGCCAGACCTACAAATCATGTCCCTTTGCTTGACAGCATCGTGTGGAGCTGCATTGTGGTCCCATCAGATAAAGCATCATACCTAGACAGGCCACTGGGTATGAGAGAAACACAATCTCTTTCCTTCCTGGTAGGCTTTCCCAGCTCCGCTGCCTCATACCAGCTTCCAGAGCTACATTGTCCCTCACACTCCCGCGCCTAGCACACCCTCCACCGACTTTCCTTCAAGGGGGATTGTTTGCCTTCAGCAGGGGATGTTTGAATGCTTCCTTTATAAGATGAAGCCAGCAGGCCTGCGGGTCTGTTTTCCCTCCCTGATTCGTGGGGTTATGAGAACATAGGATGGAAAGGTCTGAAGGTAGCAGATGGAACGTGTGGCTGTCTAAAAGCGACAACTGATAGCTTTTCTTAGCCATCCAATGTGAAACTACGTGATGCCATGGAAGTGTTGTTTGCAAGCATGTTTAGATGCTTAGGACACAAGGTGAGTTGTTTGCTAAAATCTCAGTAGGCCAGCAGGGGGCATAGCTCAGTAAAATACATGTCTTGCAAGCATGAGGCCCTGATTTGACCCCTGACCCACTGAAAAATGCCACACATGATGGTGCATCCCCATAATCTCAGTGCGGCAAAAACAGAGACAGGAGGACCCATGGAGCTCACCGGCCAGCCAGTCCAGCCTAATTGGTGAGCATCAAGCCAAGAAAACACTTTGGATCAAAGGAGGCAGACAGCATTCCTGAAGACAACACCTGGGCTTGTCCTCTAGCCTCCTGTGGACCCACATGTGTATCCACACATGCGCACATACACACAGAGAGGCATGCATTAAAAAATCCTGCTATACAGACTTTCCTCAAATTGACATTTTCCTCCATCAGTTTGTCCTGTCTTGTGCCTGTAATTCAGCTTGTTGGCTCTTCACTGCTCCCCAGCGTGAGGGGGCAACACCAAGGCCCAGATTCTCTCACAGACAACTTCCATACCTCTAATGCACACCTTCAGACTTTGTCAGTGACCTGGGTAGGGGCTCCTGGCTAAGAATGTCATTCTCGGGCTGGAGAGGTGGCTCAGGTTAAGAGCACTGACTGCTCTTCCAGAGATCCTGAGTTCAATTCCCAGCAACCACATGGTGGCTCACAACCATCTACAATTCAATCTGGTGCCCTCTTCTGGTATGTAGGCAGAACACTGTATATGTAATAAATCTTAAAAAAATAAATAAAAACAAAAACAAAAAAAGAATGTCATTCTCTGGGTAGAAAGAGAAACACCGGAGTCCTGTCGGTTGATGGTTCCAAGCATCAGTCCCCATACCCAATAATAACAGCTGAGGCTGCCATTATACACACAGCAGCAGTCAGCAGAATAGCTCTGGCCAATCTCCTCAGAGATGATCAAACCAAAGCTTTCAAAAGGAGGGTCACCTGCCCAAGATAACCCACACAGCAAACCTGGGGTGCAGCCCCTGGCAACCTGACCAGGGTTCTATCTCTTTCTTGATGTGACTACGCCAATGTCAGTGTGGAGGAGAGAGAGGGCCGGAAACCACCCCGAAACTCCCTTTTTAACCACAGTGCTGCAGAGTTGGTTCCTGCCCAACCACACTTGGTATAGCTCTGCCCCTTCCAGTCTCCTAGACTGCTACCTGTGAGACCAACAGGCGAGTGAGTAGACACGTGTTCTACCAGGAACTGCCAGAGAGCAGCCTTGCTATCCTGAGAGATAAACAAGCTAAACCAGCTGGAGGCAGGAGCCTGCTTCCTACTTCTGCTTCTGGCTGTGGTTGAAACAATCTCAGAGCCACTCAACAGGGATTTCCCCAGGCTTTCAAGCTGCAGAGACATGCGCTTGTTTGGTTTCTTCCCCAGGTCACCCAGGTCAGAGCCTGCATGGGACTTCATAGGTCAGGGACTGTCCTGTCTTTCATTTGAGTAAATAAGAAGGGACATCATGGAAGAAGTCCCTGTGCTTGAGTTCTAGCCCAGTGGCAAAGTACTAGCATATATAGGATCTTGGGTTCAGACAACAGCAACACACACACACACACACACACACACACACACACACACACACACACACACACACACACAAGTAAAAGAGGAAGGTGGCCTGTACTTCCTTCATGACTATGCCCTGGAGATGCTGGGGAGGGGGAACAGGGCATCTGGCAATCAGGTTGTAAAATCAGCAGTTTGTCTGTGGCTAGCTCCAATGCTCTCCCCCACCCCCAAACAGGAGGCCCTGAGTGGCCACTGACCTAAGCCTGCCAAACTGGTTCAATACTCCTCCACCCCTCCAAACCCCAGCTCTGTGAGGCTGTGTGTTCTCTGATTTTAGAGGCTGGGTTTCTTTGCGGTGAAGACAGTGGTCTCGGGATCAGGTTCCTGAAGGCTCCAGGTACAGCAGTGCCCACAAGTTCAATGGACTTGTCAAATACAGACCCGATCCACCCACAGGCTGCATTCTGAAGTCTACACTGCTCCTAAAAAATTAGAAACACAGACCTGGAAGTGGTGGTCTACACCTTTAATCCCAGGATTCAGGAGGCAGAAGCAGGTGATCTCTGTGAGTTAGAGGCTAGCATGGTCTATGTAGCAAGTTCCAGGACAGCAAGGGCTATGTAGTGAGATCCTGTCTGAAGAAGACAGGCAAACAGGAAGGAAGGAAGGAAGGAAGGAAGGAAGGAAGGAAGGAAGGAAGGAAGGAAGGAAGGAAGGAAGGAAGACAGGCAATGAGACAACTCAGTGGGTAAAGGCCCCACAATAAATAAACACATTAACATAGTAAAAGTGTTTACCGGTCAGTTAGAAGACGCATCTGGGCCTGGAGAGATGGCTCAGAGGTTAAGAGCACTGACTGCTCTCCCAGAGGTCCTGAGTTCAATTCCCAGCAACCACATGGTGACGCACAACCATCTGTAATGAGATCTGGTGTCTGCTTCTGACCTGCAGGGATACATGCAGACAGAACACTGCATACATAATAAATAAATCTTTAAAAAAAAAAAAGAAGACGCATCTGATTAAAGCCCTTGTCTCTGTTGACACAAAACACAACTCTCAATTTAAGGGGATAAGAGACAGTTTATGCCAGAGCCAAATGTAAATGAACATGGTCTGAGAACACAGATTTAGGTTACTTCAAATTCCATATTCCAATGTGGTAACAGTCTGATGAAGTTTTTATAATAACAGAACAAAGAAAACCACAAGTAAAGCCAGTCATAATGAGGTACACCTTTAATCCCAGCACTTGGGAGGCAGAGGCATTTGGATCTCTGTGAGTTCTTGAAGCCAGCTACACAGAGAAACCTTGTCTCAATAAAAAAGTAAGAAAGAAAAAGAAAAAGAAAGAAAAAAAGAAAGAAACAATAAAACAAACCCTACAAGTCCAGGTACCTTTCAAACACACTGATGGAAACATTAAGAAGGTAGGTTCAAGCAAAGCAGGCAGGTTTACCTCAGCCGTAGACTTCAGTTGCTATTTGATAGCATTCTTAGCCTTTGGTTGGTGGAAAAAAACAAACTGTTTCTGGTAGGTGAACACATTTATCTGTTCAGTTAGATAGAAATTCAGGCAAGGAATGGCCAGTCAGAAGGCTAAGATAAGTTGTAATTTATTAGAATTGTAGCCCAAGATAAATTGTAATGAATTTCTGGACCTGCAACATTTCAACCTCTGCACGATGACTAACTTGCAGAAGGCTTGGGGGAAAGGGCAGCTCTCTCCTGTAACTTACATCTTCAGCCTGAGCTCCATCTCTGGACCACACATGGTGGAAGGAGGGAACTGACTCCTTTGCCCTCTGACCTCCACAAGCCAATCATGGCACCTGTACGCCCCACACGCATATGAAAGAAATGCAACTTTAAAATTAAAAATAAAAATGGGAGCATGGTAGTACACATCTTTAATCCCAACGCTTGGGAGGCAGAAGCAAGTGGTCTACATAGAGTTCCAGATTAGTCAGGGTTATGTAGTGAGACCCTGCCTGGCTTTAAAAACAGATCTGGGCAGTGGTAGGGCATGCCTTTAATCTCAGCATTCATGAGGCAAAGGCAGTCAGATTTCTGAGTTGGAGGCCAGCCTGGTCTATATAGTGAGTTCTAGGACAGCCGGGGCTGGACAGAGAAACCCTGTCTTGTGAGAGAAAAAAAAAAGAAAGAAGAAAAAAAAAAGATATGTATATACTCCATCTTGATCAGATGTGACAAGGACTCAGCCTAAGTTTGAGCAGGTCTGAGAGACAAGCACATGGAAGAGGCCCCTCCCCTTTGTACCCAGGTAGCAGCTCATCTTAGGTGGCTTTTAATATTTGAACAGTCACCCAGCATGACCCTCTAGGTGGAAGTGGGAAGGAATAGATTATGAGTTCATCTTTTAAAAAAGATTTATTTTTATATGCATTGATGTCTGTGGGAAGATTTCAGATCCTCTGGAACTGGAGTTACAAAAAGTTGTGAGCTGCCATGTGGGTGCTGGAAACTGAACCCAGATCCTCTGGAAGAGCAGCCATTGCTCTTAACCCCTGAGCCATCTCTCCATCCCCATGAGTTCATTTTAATGGGTGTGTTCAATCTGTGGCCCATGGACTGATATATCCCAGGATAGCTGTGATTGTAGTCGGACACAAAACTATCCACTGAACTTCTTTTCTTATTTCTGGCATGATTTGTTTTGTTTTTGAACTCATCACACAGATCTCAAATGTGAACTATGTAGGTGACAGCGTTTGTCATGATGTCAAAAGGGCTGGGAAGTGCTTGCTATGCAAGCATGATGACCTGAATTTGAACCCCCAAACCCATGTGAAAAAGCTAGGGGTGGTGCATGGCTTTATAATCCCGGGGCTGGGAAGCTGAAAAAGGTGAGTGGTTGGGGCTCTCTGCCCTGCCAACATAGACTGATTAGTGAGTTCTGGGGTCAATGAGAGACTCTGTCTCGAAGATCAAAATGTATACCACCAGAAGAATGACATGTGAGGTTGACTTCTGGTCCTCCACATGCACATGTGTACTTGGACCCTCATACATGCATGTATCCTCACACATACATACACTGCACACACACACACACACACACACACACACACACACACACACACACACACAGTTTGATCTTCTGTGGCTCTCAACTCCTCGATGCTACTGTCACTGGCAAGACTTTAGTCAAGACTGACCTTGGATCAGCCTAGGCACAGCCACTAGAGTGTGCAATCATCCTTTTTTCCTACACACTGAATAGTGAACACTGCCCCGCTTGGGAATGTTCTCAGGACTTGAGGGCCAGAGATAAACTAGGCCTGCATCTTCTCTGCCCTCAAAACAGGCCAGTAGGTGAGGGAGGCAGATGCCCAGAACAATACAGACAGTGAGGTGCAGGGCATTCGGAGAACAGCTTTAAAAAAAAAGTCAGGCTTGTCCGTGTTCTCTGGGAAGGATCAAGTCCACATCTGGTGACTATCTTCAGACCCTCCTGAAAGATGCCTGGTAAGAAAACTGCCCTAAAACTGCCCTTCACAGCCAACCTTTGCTCTGTGGGTCCCGTTTTTACCTATCTTCTCCCTCTTTACTTTTTGGAGATACGGAGATTTTTTTCCCATCTCTCCCCGCACCCACACTGCCCAGGAGCCCAGGGCTGGTGGTTTGAGAGCATGTATTGAGCACCTGCTAGATACCGGTGGAGTAAAGCAGAACAGAGCAAGGCAGGCAGAGCAACCCGGGTGGCCAGGCGGGGAAGGTGCAGTTGTTCCCAATTGCTTCTCTGGGCTATTCTGCTGTGGGTCCCCGGCAGAAGTTCCGGTTATAGAAGTGGCGATTGTCCCTAGTCAGGGCTGTGCTCAGCTGGGCCCAGAAGCTGCCTTGACCGCTGGGCTGCTGGGGCCAGAAGAGCACACTCTGTCGGCAGAGGCGCTGGCGTAGGCGCACGTAGCGGGAGCGGTGGGCATCTGGGCGCAGGATCACCAACACCACCACGTCCTTGCGGTCCTCCAGCAGGCGCTGTTGAGCCAGAAGGAAGCTGGTGCGCAGGAGGCCGCTGACCCGGTCCGTGTGGGCCAGCACAAACAGCGTCTTGCGGCTGCCATAGATGGAGGCCCAGAGATTCTCGAAGAGCGTCTGGCCGGGCAGCCAATCCCGGTCCTCCAGGCACAAGCGCAGTGCTCGGCGCCCGCGCCGCTCCTCCAGCCGCACCCGCAGCTCGCTATACACCCAGTCGGCAACTGCGCTCTGAGCCTTATCGAACACTACGAAGGCATCGTAAGGAAGGGCTTGGGCACCGCGCCGGCCCCAGGCCAGCAAAGGTAGCCACGCCAGGCACAGGTGGAAGCAGTACCAGACGTCCCAGCCACAGAGATGGTGTAGTAAAGGCACTGCTATGCCCACAGCCACAGTCAACAGTGAAAGACCAAAACAATCCCAGGAAAGGACCTCATCCAGGCACAGCCTCAGATCCTGAGTGAAGATGCTGCGGCCCTGCAACTGGCCGGGACTGCCACACTTTACCTGATTGGGCAGGCCAGGCACCTTGGTCTGCACCTCCAGCAGGAGGTCTACGAAGGCTGCCCCACAGGCACAGTGCAAGGGGTTGCTTCTCACATCCAGCATTGTCAGGTTTGCCACTATGGGTCCAAACCAGGAGCGATCAACTGTCTTGAGGATGTTGTCGCTGAGGTTGACCTCTTTGAGCTCCAATGCCAGAGCAAAGAAGGCTGGAACCACAGAGACAATATTATTGCTACTGACATCCAGCTTTCGAAGATGGGTGCCGTTAGGCAGGGTGCCGTTGGACAGGGCCTTTAGTTGGTTTCCTGCCAGATCCAGGACTTGCAGGTTGGGCAGGAAGGCCAGACTACTCCAGTTAAAGAAAGACAGGTAATTGTCACGGAGACTCAGATACCTCAGGCTCTTGGGAAGGTTGTCGAGGTTCTGGGGCTGGAGGATATGCAGGCGATTCTGAGACAGGTCCAGCTGCTGCAGGTGTCTGAGACCTTGGAAGAATTGAAGGTAAATGTCCCCCACACCCCACATGAGGCCTAAAGCATTGCCACTGAAGTCCAGGACCTTCAACGAGGTGCTGTGAAGATGGGAGGACACACGGCTGCGAATGTCATTGTGTGCCAGGCTGAGGTATTGCAGCATGGGCAGATGGGTCACAAAACTAAAGTTGTGGCCAATACCCCGCATGGTGAAGGGCTGGTTGTTGTAACTCAGGTCCAGAGCCTGCAATTGTGGGAGCTCAGTGAACGAGCGCCCGTGGTACAAGTCCAGCTTGTTATGGGATAGGTCCAGCACCTTTAGATTGGTCAGCGGCAGGAACTGAGAGCCATTGACGGCCTGTGCAATGCCGTTGTGACTCAGGCTTAGGCACTGGAGGTGAGAGAGGTTGGCAAACATCTCTGGCTGAATTGCCACCAGGTTATTCCGAGACAGATCCAAAGTAAAATTGAGGCTCCTACACCTGACCATGAAGTTCTTAGGGGTGCTCAGTAGGGCTGGGGCGAGAACCCCAGACCACAGATTCTCTTGCACCCCATCATCTGCCTCTTTGAGGGTGGTTGCTGACATTTTCAAAGACCCGCTGATGCGGTTTTCTGACAGGTCCACAAAGCGAAGGCTTGGGAAGGTACCAAAGATGCTGAGCTGGGCCTGGTTGATGAAGTTCATTTGGAGATGCAGAGTGTGGAGGTGGCGCAGATTGGTCAGCCACCTGAGTGTGTTCTTGTTGAGCAGGCGGAAGAAGATGCCATTCAGGTTCAGCTCCTGCAGTGACACCAGGTTCCCAAAGGACCTTGCCAGGTGGAGCTTGGCAAATGATACCTTCTTGCGGTAATTGAAGGACAGGTCGAGCTTGCACAGCTTTGTCAGGTTCTGAAAGGCCAGGGTGTTGGTAATACAGTCATAGAGAAAGTTCTCACTTAGGTCTAGCACTGAAAGGTTGACTAGCCCTTGGAACCAGGAGGAGTTCAGCGTGTGGAGAGAATTGTCCTTCAGTACCAGGCCTTCGAGGTGCCTCAGGTGATGAAAGGTCTCAGGGTGCAGCTGGAGGGACTCTTGTTTGCACTCTACACAAGGGTTGAAGGCATGGTCACAGCGGCGACAGTTCCCGCCCACATCAAGCACTCGAAGGGAAGTCAGATTGGCTAGGTCTTCAGGTTCCAGCTTGACAATGTGGTTGTAGGACACCAGCAGGTACTCCAGGCTAGGGGGCAGCTGCCGGGGCACCTTCATGAGGTTGTTATACTTAAGTGACAAATGGGTGAGGTTGCTCAGGCCCAGGAGTGCACCTGGGGTCACATTCACTGCCCCGCTGCAGGGATTCTTGTAGTAGCAATTCCCATCCATGAAGAAAAAGCGCAGGTTGTACAGGTCAGCGAAGCTGTCAGAATCTAGTACCAGGATGTTGGTGTGGCTCAGGCTCAGGTTCATTAGGGAACTGGGCAGTGGGGGTACAGTGGTGATGCCATTGTAACTCAGGTTCAGCTCTTCCAGGGCGCGCATAGTCCGGAAGGTGTTGTGCTCAATGGTCATGTGGCAAGGGAAATGCAGAGGGCTGAGGCCAGTGGGTGGGCAGTTCCATTTGAGGTTCAGTCGCCTCAGGCTGGGAAAGTAGGCAAAGTCGGCGTTATGCAAGTGGTGGATGCGGTTGGAGACCAAGGAGAGGCTGGTGATGTTGGAACGGGGTGCTGCCTCCGAGAAGTGAGGCACAGTTTTCAGGAACAGCCAGTTGCAGTCTACCAGGCCACGAGGCTTCAGGTCACAGGGCAGGAAGACAGGTCGGGTGCCCAGGGCCAGAGCCCCAGCCAGAACTGCGGCTTGTACTAGGAGACACAAGGGGTGCAGAGTCCTGCAACAGAGAACCTGGGAGAGCCGGGACTGCATGAGTGTCTAGTGTTATCCTGTCCTTCCTCACTGGGGCCTCTTCAGGGCCTCCAAGCCCTCTCCAAATGCCCCACCCTCCCGTCTCCTTCCAGCACATGCAGGACCATTGCTTGGTTTTAGGCTCAGCCACTGAGTCAGGGCGAGGACACAGAACCAGACTGTGTCTGGAATCCAGACCCCAGACTTGGAACTTCCACTCAGAACACAGCCCATAGCAGGGCCAGCACAGACTCCAACAGGCCCGCTGGGCCCCTCGCACTTTCTCTTCCTGTGCCCTGGGGCTTCAGCTCTTTTCTGCTAAAGAGAGCGGCTGCCTGGACTCTGTTCCTCCAGCCCCCAGCCTTGTTCCAGTAGCCTCCTGCCCTCTCCTTGGTCAAAGTGCAGGGAGGACTGAACCCCTGAGGTGTAGGCTGGCTACTCGCTGCTACTTCCTAGCTCTTTTTACCCTTCATCTGCTTCCCCAGTCTGAATTGAGAACTTTCAACCTGCTGCCGAGGGGGGCGATGGGCAGCAGGTCTGCGGTGTGCAGGCCCGGCGCCACCCCTGACTGAAATGCAGGACTTCGGCTTCCCTATCCCCTTAGCAAGTTCAGCCCTCTCTACTCAGAGAATGGCTTTTGCTCCAATTTCCTCAGGGGTCCATGAATATCCCAAGGGCACAGAGCAGCCTGTCCTTTCCACTGTTGCCCCTTCTAACATCATCCTCTCTGTGACACCCTCCCCCAAGGGGGGAAGAACTGGGGTCCTACCATGTTGCAGAATGGAGGCTCCTCCAGAGGCTCTGTCTGACCAGCTGGGCAGCAAGAAGAGAGTGATGCTCCACCAGGGTGCCTCACAGAATTGAGGAAGTGACACTTTCACTACAGCCTAATTTAATAGACGCTTTATCCCCAGCAGGGGAGGGCAGGTGGCACAGTGAGTCACAGGGCATTTGCGTAGTCAGATGGCAGGCAGCCAGTCCCCTTCACCTCTTCCTCTTTCCATTCTCTTCCTCACCCCACAGTCAGTCATAAGGGTCTCACATCTGTCCCCTGGGAGGTGTGGGAAGGAGCTAAAGCCCAGAGTCCTGCCCAAGGTCAGTGAGAAACCAGAATCTAAAGCAGCACCCGAGTTTGGCACAGCGCTGAACCCATGAGGAGGGTGTCACCTCACCCTCAAGCCTCAGTGCTGGCCCCATGGTCCTCGGAGGACAGGCTCGCCCACCTGCTCTATCCCCAGAATACTGTGGAGCCTCTGCCCTTCCCCACCACATCAGTCTTGACATCTCTTCCAAGAACAGTGTCCCCCACTCTGTGTTTCCGGTTCCCCTAAGGCCCCATCAGACTCCAGACGCCAGACTCCAGGAGCTGGTAAACTGGAACTGACTGGTCTTGCTGTTGTGTGACACTATTCCTGAGGAGATGCATGCAAATATGTACTCACCCAAGAAAGGGACCCAGTAACAGACCAAACCTGAGGACACCCCTGAAGTCCAAGTTGGTTAACCAATGAGTTTTACTGGAGTGACTGGCAGAAGTAAGTGAGGGGTTACTTAAAGGAGCAGAAATCACTCAAAGACAGTTGCACCACCAATAGCTCACCCAAGCATAGGCCATGGAGGCCACAAAAGCTGGAAACCTGGAGCTCATGGTACAACTTACTTCCAGATCAAAATGTGGAAGAGTGAATGGTCTAGGCAACTCGGCTGGCTTCTGCTTCTTTCAGGCAGTCCCCAACCCCCAGAGTCCCTCCCAGAAGTCTTCTCTGTCCATACAAGCTTGGGGAGGGAGGCCTAGTGCACCTATCAGGGACTTTCTGGAGCTCTCAGTTGTTCGTGTCCTGAATTTTAAGGAGCTTCACTGAAGGATGGAATGAATGGCCCACCTCCCTTGGAGGGAAGTGCCATACAACACTGATGACACAACTCTTCACACCCTCCTCTGGCCTAGGTGACTGGAACTCAGATTATTCAAGCCCAAAGCCCTAGAAACCCCGGAGAAACCTTAATCCCTGATACTGTCCCTTTAAAAGATGTCCACTGCTTGCAACCTGCATATTTAGCTGCATGCCTGAGTTGACATCATCTCTGACATCACCCTGGCCCTGCCCTCTTTCCCTGCTAGCTATTCATGTTGAGCCCCTGGAAAGGCCTGTTCAAACCCGCCTCCTCCCTCCTTCTCTATTTATATGTATATGCATATACACATATAGTGTATATGTGTGTGTATACTTTATATATGCATACACATATGTGTGCATCCATGTGTGTGTTTCCTGTATGTATATCTGTGCACCACTTGCATGCCTAGTGTCTGAGGAGGTCAGAAGAGCATGTCAGATCTTCTGCAACTGGCACCACACACAGCTGTGTGTACTGGGAATTGAACTCAGGACCTCTGGAAAAGCAACCAATGCTCTTAACTGCTGAGCCATCTCTCCAGTCCCTCTGTTCAAACCTTTCATCTGGGTTCTTGCTCTGCCCAGATCCCTCCATAGCTGTCTGGAGCCCTAGTCACTGTCCAAACAGCAGCCAAGGTCTTATGCCATGTCCTTCCATTTTCTCCCTGACCTGCTGACAGCCACTGACATAGCTGTGCACTTTCTAGCTTCAGGGCCTTTCAACATACTCTTCCCTCTGCCTGGACACTTAATTTTATTTTATTTTTGAGACAGGGTTTTTTTTTTTTTCTGTGTAACAGTCCTGGCTGTCTTGGAACTAGCTCTGTAGACTAGACTGACCTTGTACTCACTGAGTTCCGCCTGCCTCTGCCTTCCGAGTGCTGGGATTAAAGGTGTGGGCCATGACCACCTGGCTTGGACACTCTTTTCTCTCATATTCCTCCTGCCTTCACACACTTCTCATATCATCCTCTTTCCACGGGCCTTCCCTGACCTTCTCATGGACCTCTCAGCTGAGCTAGACACCCGTTCTTCCACCACCACAAGGCTGATGCAGGAGAATTAGAGCTCAATGCCTGGCCTACATAGTGAGACCCTGACTCCAAAGAAATACAGACAAAAGTAAGTAAACCTGGTGGCCCAGGCCTGGCTCTCCTGAGCACTGTAGCCTGTTCGTTTTCTCTTTGCATAATGTTTTTCAGTTTTTTTCCATTTCATTGCTACTTCATAGCTGTACTTTTGCCATTGTTATGATTTGTTGTATTTAATTTATTGTATGGGTGTTTTTTGTCTGCATAACTGTCTGTTTGTGCGCCAAGTGCAGACAGTACCTCCTAAGGCCAGAAGATGGTGTCAGATCCCCTGGAACTGAAGTTACAGACAGTTGTGAGCTGCCATGTGGGTGCTGGGAATTGAACCCCGGTCCTCTGGAAGAGTAGCCAGTGCTTGTTACTGCTGAGCCATCTCTCTAGTCCATATTTTTCAAATTTTCAACTGATACCACACCATGCTACCCATTCTTCAGGCTTTGCTGGATACTGACTCCTGCTGGAATGTTGACTCACTCCCCCCCCCCAAGCTGAGGACCGAAGCTAGCTGAGCACCTGCTAGGCAAGTGTTCTACCAGTGAGCTAAATCCCCAACTCAGGTATGTTGACTTCTGGAGGACAAGAACTTCCATCTGTGTCCGTGGCAATGTTCGATATCTGCTGAAGCTATGGCCTTCCCACAGCACTCAGCTTTGGTAGTCAGGGTACCTTTGAGTAGTTTGAATAAATCAGTCAGAGAATGAAAGAATGGCCATTCTCCTGAAAGGGGCAGGGTTCGACATCAGTCTCCTGGCTCCGCCCAGACCCTCATCAGAGTAGATCTCAAGGCAGGCAGGACCCAAGATGCCAATGATCTAGCTGGCTTGGCAGCTTGAGTTCTCTTCTTGCTTGCCTGAGAACCAGTATTTGGGCTGAGTCTCCCATGATCTTTGCCAGGGTCCCAACTTTTCTGTCCATAATCCTAGGGGCTTAAATAGAGGTTGGAAAGGGCCCCCGAGATGGGACAATGCCCTGAGCCAGGAGAAAAGACAGTGTCCATTCAGCATCCCTCTTCTCCTGGGACAGGAGGTGTCTACCCACTCTTTAGAGGCTTAGACTGACCCCTGGCTTCTGCTGAGCATCAGACTTAGGCCAAGGGACTCCTCGTGGACCAGAGTCAATTGTCCACTTCCACTCACCACCCTTGGGAATAGCAAAGCAGGCCAAGGACACATAGGACTGGAGACTCCAAGATACAGGTCTTTAGAATACCCATTACAGCCTCAGTGCCATGAAAACCCAGACAGAGCCCTTATCCAGGGTGGCAGGATCAACAATGCCCTCTTAGGAGCCAGGCGCAGTAGCACATACCTTTAATCCCAGCACTCAGGAGGCAAAAGGCAGTCGGATCTCTGGTTTTTGAGGCCAGCCTGGTTTACATAGCAAAGCTCCAGGCTAGCCAGGGCTACATGGTAAGACTGTCTCAAAAAACAAACAGCACCTTCTAATCCTACATTATTGACAGGGTTAGTGAGGACAGGAAGCCAAGAGGGTAAGTGTTCATTACAAAGCAGAACCAAGGACTGTAGCTCAGCTGGTATACCACTTGCTTAGTAGCATTCACAAGGCCTTGGATTTGATCGCTGACACCCCACTCACCAGGCACATTGGTGCATGCCTACTGAGGTTCAAGGTCATCCTCAGCTACATAGCCAATTTGAGGCCAGCCTGGGCTACATGAGGTTTTGTCTCAAAACTCCACCCAACAAATGAGTGAAACAGAGACAAAGCCAGGGCTGCTGATGTACACGGGGAATGCCAGGGCTAGGGAGGCCGAGGCAGGAAGACCGCCTCATTTGTTACACAGCAAGACCCTATCTCAAAACAAAACACTAAAATATTAAGAAGGAAAGGTAAAGATGGAAAGATCTAACTCCAGATGGAGGCAGAGCCCATGGAAGCACAGAGCAGCAGAATCAGGTTCTTCAAGTTCAGAGATGAGAACACGGCTAACCCAGCCAAAAGCCAGCTGTCTGCAGCATGGTCTTAGCCTTGTCTGGCTCCAGATCTGTACGAACAAACAGACAAGGCTTTCTTTCTTTTCTTCTTCTTCCTTTTTTAACAGGGTTTTGCTATGTTGAGCTCAAACTACTGCTTTTTTTAAAGCCACTGAGTTTGTGGTAACTTGTCACAGCACCCACAGGAAACAGACACACCCAGATCACCACAACTTCGTGGAACCTCCCGGGTAGGTGCAAAGCCTGAGGCCTGGAGTGCTTGGGCTTCACCCTGGCAGGCCGGCAAACCCCTTCTGAACAGGGAAAGGCACCCAATTCTCAGGGTCAGGCTCAGTATTGATTTAAAAATATTTTATTCTTTAGAAAATACAACGTTCAACCATCCCTTCCTGTGACACCTGGCCCCTGCCAACTGTCCCCACCCTCTGTGGCCAAAGGCTTCTGGACTGAACAGGGACTATAGCATCAGATCTGGAGGCTAGGTTCATGCCAGGTCTCCCACTCAGACACCTTGAAAGAGCCAGGTGAGGGTCCCCAGCTGCCCTGTGCACACAGATGAGAGGAAGGGACAGCCACAGGGCAGGGTCACCAAGTGCTGGCCCAGCAGCCCTCGAAAGTGGCAAACGTCTTCAGCCACCTGCCCTCCTGCCCCACAGGAAGCAATTCCTTAGAGCCCAGGCTGGGGAGGAAGGAGGTGCAGGAGTGATCGGGTGGCAACCCTGCAGTCCTTGTGCCTGGCCCTGTTCCCAGTCCAGACACCTAGCTGTCATCTCCATTCTCCCCGGGGCCCCGGATGAGGCGCTTATGGCCCCGCTTGCCCCCAGGGCCCTTGGGCTTGGCGAATGCCTGCTTGAAGGCATGCTGCTTGGGATGCACCTCATCGTAGAGGAACTCGGCTGTCAGTTCTGCCCCGTCACCGATCTCGATCTGCATGGACCAAGACGGAAGTCACTGCTATGCTGAGGACCCGACATATGCCACTCTTGGTAAGTCTTACTACTAGGGTCACCACGTATATATCTTCTCTTAGCTCACCACAGAATATATGAAGTAGGGCTCTTACCCTGCTGGCTGTTACCCACCTGCTTCCCAGCCCCCCAAGACCTAGGGAAAGGAGGTGACAAAGCGGTCAAGGCTTGGGCTTGTGTGTGTCTTAGGTTGCCCCGGATCTTAGGCGACCCACCCTTCCAATATTGTAGCAATGAAACCCATTAGGACTCCGGTGTCCCACATGGGGAGTGGGGTGATGGGCCCTGGGAACAACCTGTACCTTCTTGGCTATCTCCAGCTGGAAGTCTTGCTCTACGGAGTCGAGGAGGCGGCTCTTGCAGCTGGAGTAGAGCATGCGCTCCTTAATGCTGCACTTGTACCCCGGCATGGAGTAGATGAACACTGTAGGGGACGAGGAGGTGAGCCCAGGGTGGCTGGGGCACCTACATACCTCTACTCCCTTAGCAGACCCAAGCAGTGGCTTGTCATTGCTGCTCCTGACCAATGCAGAATTGAGGTCCCTGCCATAGCTACTCACCCACAGACTCAAGGGAGTCACCCTCATGGGTATGCTTATACAGGAAGAAGTGGTAGCGGGCAGCATCTCGGGGAACCCGTGAGGGCAGCTGGGCCACACTTGTGGGCTCTGTGTGCACCAGCTCGATGGTCTCCCGTTCCAAGTCCAGCTTCTGAGGAGGAAAGGGGAGGTGTGAGGGCACCACTGTGCCCACTGGGAAGCCGGACCGGTAGGCAGGCAGGAGTGTTTGGGGGTCCTTCTCCCTGGAGTTCCCTTCCCAAGGCTGGACCACAGGCTTCAGGGGCTACTCTAAATAGACCTTCCAAGCCTGGCCCCATCTCTGCCCCTTTGAAGGTTTAGCTAAGCGGCTCCCGCCGACATCCCTGTCTGGGGTGGTGTGGAGGACCTTGATCTCTGTAGTGATTGCAATGGCTCTGTCCTCAGGGGCAAAGCCCCAGGAAAGTGTTTGTAACAGAGAGTCATTCTGATTGGGCAGAGGATGCAGAAGAACTCTGCCTGGGAAAGAGGTAGTCAAGGGAGTTACAGAGGAACTCTGGGACAGGACAAAGGTCAGCCCTGAGGGCCAGTGTAAACCTATGGTGTCTATGTGTCAGCCCTGAGGGCCAGTGTAAACCTATGGTGTCTATGTGTTGTGAAGGGTGTATGGGGTCATGTGCTTACAGGGCAGGAGGAGGAGAGAAAAATAGTATGTTCTTTTTTTGGGGGGGGGTTCGAGGCAGGGTTTCTCTGTGGCTTTGGAGGCTGTCCTGGAACTATCTCTTTTTAGACCAGGCTGGTCTCGAACTCACAGAGATCCACCTGTCTCTGCCTCCTGAGTGCTGGGATTAAAGGCGTGAGCCATCACTGCCTTGCCAGCATGTTCTTTTTTAAAAAAGAGAAAAAATTGAATCAGGGTCTCATGTAGATTAAGCTGACCTCAAACTCATTGTGTAGCCAAAGATGACCTTGGGCTCTATCTAATGCTCCAGCCTCTGCCTCCTGAGGGCTGAGATTACAGGTGTGCGCCACCACAGCCAGTTCTATGTGCTGCTGTTGAGGATCAAGTGCCTGGTGTATGCCAGGCAAGCGTTCTACCAACTACACTGCATCCCCCAGTCTAAGAACAACATGAATTAGCAGAACAGCTCAGGGATGGGGCTCTGGCTCTGTGCCCGTTTGCTAACACATAACCGGGAATAGGAAGAGCCGTGGTGCCTGGCTTGTGTTTGGTAGGCATGCTACACTACTGTGTACCCACCAGCTGGATATAGTTGACCGCCTTCTGCTTGAGTTGCTGGAGGGCCCGCTGGGCCTCAGGCTGCAGAGGGAAGGCCAGGCCCTGCAGGGTCTGGTGCTTGCTTTCCACGCTGATCTCAGTCTTCACCTGGGGGAGAGGCAGCCGTGAGGCAAAACCTATTCCCACCAAGTTGCAGCCTACCAAGTTTAGTGGCTCCCAGTACACACCCTCCTAAACACCCACCTCGTTGATTCGGATCTGCTGGAGCTCTCTCTCAGCCGAAGTCAGTGGGGCAGGTGCGGCACAGGATGACAGATGTTTCTGGTACCCAGCCAGGGAGAGGTCATCCTGTGGGGCAGGCTCAGAGGTATAAATGAGCACTCCAGGCAGGCAGGCAGAACCCGCCGCTGTGTATCTTGGCTTGCAGCTCCTGGACTCCCCATCCTTCCATTTCGTTTATTTGAGACAGCGTCATATGTAGCATCCAAGCTAACCTCAAATTCACTACACAACCAACGATGACCTTGATGCTCTTGTCTCCACTTCCTAAGAGCTGGGAATCAAACCCACGGTTTCATGCAAGCTAGACAAACACTGTATCAATTACGTGAGCCCCTAGACAAACACTGTATCAATTACCGTGAGCCCCAGTCTCCAGTCCTCCTGTTTCACCCTGAGCCTGGCACTGAGTTGTTCTGTGACTGTCAAACAAGACCTCTCACCCTCTGGTCCCCATCCTGCATTCTGGCTTGGGCAACTAACCTTTACTGTCCCGAAGAGCTCATCCTTGATGTGGCCGCCTCCAAATTCCTTCTTCACTGTGGCTCGTGTGGCTGCATACAACATCTTAAGCCGCACCTGAGATGGGGCAAACTGTGAGGACCCCATGGGCCAAGCTGTTGCTCCAGGAGTCAACTGGAGCCCCAGAAGAGGGAGGCAGGGTACCGAATCAGGTCATCACACTGGTCCCACATGCCCAGCAGGGGGCGCAGCGAAGCTGTATTAGGCAGCTTTTGCCAGCAGGGGGAGCCTCCACCCAGCCCAAACAGGCCCAGGTCAGGTTGATGGAACAGACAGGGTTTGGGGCAGACCCTAACATTCCTTCCCTTAGCCTCAGTAGGCCAGTCTCTCATTTGGACCTCACACTTCCCACTAGCCCCAAGCAGGGAGATGGGCAGTGGTGCCTAGGACTCACAGGTGAATTATCAGGTGACCAGGCCAGGAAGAGCCACTCGAAACCCTGAGCATTCTGCGAGTCAAGGCGGAAGAGGAGGTAGCAGGGTTCCTGGGCATCTAGCAGAGGCAGCACAGCCCGGTCGTAGTCTTGGTCCCAGCGTCCCACTGGCTCCTGCGAGGCACCCAGCACGAGCTGCTCTGGGGGCAGAGGCCGGGTGAGCCGAAGGGGCACATCCCACCTCCCCCTCTGCCTATGCACCTCTGTCCTCTGGATGCGGCTCTCTGAGCTATCGCAGACCTTGCTTTCCCATGAGCCCTCAAATCCCCAAGTATGAAGTTGAATTCTGAGTGATAAATATGAGTGAAGGAACGAGATCACGTGTTAGCTGCAGGTGGCTTCCTTTGCACACCCCCCCTGCAAACACTTGTATTAAGTACACTCATGCATTTGTGCACACGCAAACACACAAAAGAACACAGCTGTGTGGCCACTGCCAGCAGCAATGCACCCTCAAGGCACTGCTCCACCGGGTGCCGCTCAGTGCATTCTCAACTCCCTCAGCCCTCGGCTCTGATATGCCCCCTCTGATATGACACAGGACAGTGACAGGCTGCCACCCCAAGCTTCAGCCCTCTACCTCAAAGTAAAAAACCAATCGCAGCCAACTATTCTTTAAGACAGGGCTTCACTACAGAGCCCCAGGTGACCTTGAATCGCGGCCATCAGCCTCTCGAAGGCCTGGGATTCCTTGTGTGCATCGTCAGGCCAGCTTCTGCTTGTGGTTATTTTATTTATTTATTTATTTTTTTTGGTTTTTTGAGACAGGGTTTCTCTGTGGCTTTGGAGGCTGTCCTGGAACTAGCTCTTGTAGACCACGCTGGCCTCGAACTCACAGAGATCCGCCTGCCTCTGCCTCCCAAGTGCTGGGATTAAAGGCGTGCGCCACCAACGCCCGGCGGTTTGTGGTTATTTTTGATACAAAGTCTTGCTATATAGCCCAGGCTACCCTCAGACTTCCAATCCTCCTGCCTCAGCTTTCCAAGTGCTGGGATTACAGGAGTGTGCCATCAAGTTTAGCTAACAACCAACTTACTATTTTTTTATTATTACTATTAGTGTGTGTGTGTGTGTGTGTGTCTATGGGTGCATGCATATTACCTAGGTATGCAGAAGTCAGAAGACAACTTTCAGGACTTAGCCCACTGTAAGTCCCAGGGACTGAACTCAGGTTGTTGAACTTGTGCCACAAATACTTTTATTCAGCCTCTTGCTCAGCAGCCTGGACCTGATGGACCTACCACCTCTCTGGCCAAGCAGGTCACCCAACCACAGTTTCAGGCTGAGACCTCACCTGGACACCATGTACTTGGTCACACAGGCCAACCCAGAGCAAGTACTGGGCAACATGGTGACTGCAGCTGGGCCATGGGTGATCCTAGCTGGCCAGGCCAGCTCTTCACCAGATCCAACCATGTGTTTTTGATAGGGTCAAGAATCCAACTGCCTAGGAATCCAACATGCAAGGCCACCAGTCTAACCACCTCTACAGGCCCTGGCCTCCTTGCCTGCCCACCCGGGACTCAGACGGGAATCAGGGTTGGAAGCAGCTAAAGCCGGGCAGTGATGGCACACACCTTTAATACGAGCACTTGGGAAGCAGAGGCCAGCCTGGACTACATAGTGAGTTCTAGGACAGCCAGAGCAACACAGAGAAACCTGGTCTTAGAAAAAAAAGAGAGGAAGGAAGAAAGGAAGTTACATCAGCAGCTATAGGCTGGTGAGGTTGGGGAAGGGAACCAAGCACAATATTGTTTACTTTGTTGTTCTTTTTTTTTTAAAGTTTTTATTTACTTATTTTATGAGTGTTTTGCCTAGATTTACGTATGTGTATCACGTGTGTGCCTGGTACCCATCGAGGTCAGAAGAAGTGTTTGATCCCCTGGAACTGAAGTTACAGATGGTTGTGAACCACTATGTTGATGCTAGGAACTGAATCTCAGTCCTTGGCAAGGGCGATGAGTGCTCATAACTGCTGAACCACTTCTCCAGACACTTATTTACATTTTTAAGCCAGAGTGTTTGGACAGGTGAGATAACTCAGAGGGTAAAGGTACTTTCCACCAAGCTTGATGACCTGAGTGATCCACATGGTCAAAGTTGTTCTCTGATCTACACACACACACACACACACACACACACACACACACACACACACACACATTAAATATAAACTTAAAAATAAACCAGAATTATTTTATTTATTTGTTTGTGGTATCTTTAGACCAGGGCACACGTAGCCCGGCTGGCTTCCAACTCACTATATAGCCAAGAATGACCCTGAACTCCTGGTTTTCTTCCTCCCAAGGCTTCATTTTTATATGTGGAAATAAGTCAATACATGTAGTCTAGGCTGGCTTCAAGCTGAGTTCCTCAGGTCTCTGCCTTCTCAAGTGCTGAGGTTTACAGGCATACCCCATCATGCCAAGTTACACCAGGAATTTTACATAAGACATGTAATTTGGGACTGAAGAGATGGTTCAGATGAAAGCACTGGCTGCTCTTCCTGAGGACCTGGCTTTGATTCCCAGAACGGACATGGCAGCTCACAAACTGCCTGTGACTCTAGCACCAGCAGATCTGATGCCCTCTTCTGGCCTCCGTGAGCACTGCATGCTCATGCACAAACACAGACATAGATAGGTTTTTGTTTGATTGTTGGTTGTTTTGTTTTAAAAAAGAACTAGGGTGGTGGCACCCACTTTTAATCCCAGCACCCAGAAGGCAGAGGCAGGCATATCTCTGTGAGTTCAAGGCTAGCCTGGTCTACTTCCAGGACAGCCAAGGCAACATAGAGAAACCCTGTTTTGGATTCCCCCCCCCAAAAAAAATACCAACACAAAAAACAAACAACAAAGCCAGGGGTTGGTGGCACACACCTTTAATCGCAGAAGTTGGGAGGCAGAGGTACGAGTATCTCTGTGAGTTCAAGACCAGCCTGGTCTACAAGAGCTAGTTCCAGGACAGGCTCCAAAGCCACAGAGAAACCCTGTCTCGAAAAACAAAAACAAAAAACAAACAGCAAACAGACTCAAACCAAAAAAGAACTATAATTTATTTTCTGCAGAAAAGTCAGGTGCTCCAACCTCACTCAACTGGAATGTAAGCCCCTCCCCAGGCATTCCCAGGCACCCCAACACTTGGAATACAGAATTAGGATAAGACTCTACCTGGAGGTTCCTTATGTTTATGGGGAACATCCACAGTGACATCTTACCTGGGAGGTTAAGGGACAGGACTGAAGTAGGGGTCAATGAGCTCAACTGTCTCTTTAAGGGTGGGAAGCCCCAGAAGGGCTCCACTCATCACCTGGCATAATGACCCCTACCCAGTCTCTGAGGGCATCTGGACAAAGCCCAGCCTAGCTGTGGCCTTACAGCTTGCAATGAATTCTTGGTCTTGTAGGCCCTGCTAAAGTGATTAGAACACGAGGCTCATTCAGGATGCCCAGTGCCAAAGGGCTCACGACAGCATGACAACAGAGAAGGCCAGAAGGGCCCTTGGAGGGTCTGGCCCATACCCACACCCAGAATCTATACCCCTCCTTGCTGAGGCAGAGAGGGACTCCTGTTTCCCCTCCCCCAATTCAGCCTCAGACAGATCCTCTACCGTTTTGAATACTTCTACTTCAGGCTTAGGCTCAAGCCCCTCATACCTGACTGCCTGGTAAGAATCCTGGGTGTCACAATCGGCTCAAGGCCCTGTCAAGTACAGAGTTACTCTATCCTGTTTTCAGAATGAGCAAGACCTAAGGAAATTGTTTCTTTCCATTTTGGGGAAGGTCCTTGGCATCTTAGTCTTCCTACAGCCAGCAGCAACGCCAGGTCCAGCCTGCTGACCACATACACAGGCATGCAGACACACACACACACACACACACACTCGTGCACACAACATACATACACACAGTAGGGCTCACTGGGCCCCTGCCACCTACCTATCCCAGCACCCTGACAAGGCCCATCTCAAAAGCCACACAGCCTCTAGGCACTGAGGCCTGACGCGACCACAAGGCAAGGCTCTACGCAACAGTGACCACTATCCCCACCTGTAGAACTCCCATGAGGCTGCTCTGTGAGTGGCCTCATCCCATTCTCAGATGGAGAAACTGAGGTCTAGAGGGGGCAGGAAGCTAACACCCATCATTCCTATCCCAAGAAGCAACTGGGTTCAGCCTCCATCCCTACGCCAGCTTGTGGGGACACTCACCGTCCTCAATGACGACTTTGATGAGTCGGACGGAGCCAGCCCGAGCCTTGGCAAAGAATTCCTTTAGCTCTTCAGTGGCTGCAAGCACAAGAAACATAGTTGTTGGTGAGCAGGCACAGTGGATAGGGATGAGTTTGGGTCTGCTGGTGTCCCGTGGGGTCTGATGGCTGGGCTGGGAAGTGGGTTAAATATGGTCCCCCCATGTGACTGGGAACCTGAGACGGCCACTGAACATAAGCACCCAAATTTAGCTAGCAGTGGCGGGCAGATGGCCCGCTGGCTGGGATAGCTCTGGATGACAGGAAGGGCAAACAGGAATGGGACAGTCCACTTGAAGATGGAACAGGGTCTCAGCCAAGTCAAGCTGGCCAGAATGAAGGGTACCCACTTGTCCCCTGACGATAGGATAATCCATCGGTGGATGAACACTGGTCAATGTAAGCGGACACACTCATTTAGAGATAAACACACACACACACACAATCCCAGATTGCCAACACACAAGGCAACAGACACAGCAACAGTATGTCTATACCAGGTGTACAGGCAAGAGAGACAAACATAGACAAAATATGTAGACACAGGTGTGCATGAGGTACGGACGCACTTGTCACTCAAGCCCCCAGCCAGTCTGTACCAACAGAAGGGCCTAACAGCCCCAACACAACCCCTATCAAGGGGCAATAAAGCCCCCAGCTCCTAGGCAGTAAGGAAGGCTTCCTGGAGGAGGGGTGGCACCTAGAAAGGAGATTCCATCTTGGACATTAGCTGGGATGTCATTAATATCCAAGGGCACAGTGCCATGGTCAGGGCGACAGGACCATGAGTCATCTCAGTTCTACTAGCGGTAGCAGAGAGGAAACACAGTTCAAGTGTGTAAGGGACATGCGTGGGTCTCTGAGTGAGTGTGACCTTGAGGCTGCCAGGGGCCAGAAGTACCCCGGCAGGAAAACAGCTGGAGAGCTGAGGTCACAGAGTAATTATAGGCCTTGGCTTGGGCAGCTGATGGGCAACTTAGGGGCGGGGTGGAGGGGCTTTAGGTAAACAAACTCTCAGTCATGTCCTCAGGTGCTCCCCCATTCCCTGCAGAGTGACCTTATGCCTGACCTCAGGTTGTATACTAGCCATGCAGGTCACTGTGTGGCAAGGGGCCTGGCAGGGCCCAACAACCCTTGGGGAAAGAGAAGCATGGCTTGGTACTGTACACAAGGGAACACAGCCCCACTGGGCATGCTCAGCTGATAACTTTCAGGAGATGCTTGAAGCTTTAGGCCAGATCTTTGGGGCCCCAGCTCCCTCTTAGCTGTGTGACCTCTGACCTCTCTCAACCTCAACCTCATCTACAAACAGAGATAATTTCCTCAGACTCAAAGATTTGTGGTAAGGAGTCTGTGGGAGAAGGTGCTAAGGAATGGAACTTCCACTAATGATTATATTTTTGATCTAAGGGTGGTTGTGTTTTATTGCTCCTCCTACCCGCCTAGACCTTAAAGAGAGGCCGAGAAGCTCCCCAGAGGGAGGCTGACAAGCCCCTTCTACTGTTACCAGAGCAAACTAAAAAGCCAGCAGGGAAAGTGACATCCCTTCCTACCCCACCCCTACCTCCCCAGTCACCATCAATAATCTAGAGACCAGACCTGGGACACCTGAGCTTCTGTCATCAAAGATTCATGCTTCCCCGCCCCCACCTTGCCCACCTCCAACTTCAGCAGGCCTCAGGTTACAGACCCCACTCTGAGGTCAGCAGCTCCTGTGGCCAGGCCAAGGCTGGCACCTGATCCTCCAGGGTGGTCTTTCTTGCTACCTCCAGAGGGCCCTCATAGACAGGACAGGGGGAAGCTCCCCCAGGCAGGCCCGGAGAATGGGGGGATAGGACAGAGTCAGCACAGGGTCTGCCAGCAGTGTGTGTGGGTGCTAACTTCCTAGCACCTCCTCCAGGCTGGAGGCAGCTCAGGCCAGACAAAGAGGAAGGAAGGGGCAGGCCAGGCAGCAATTTCCCCCTGCCAGTTCCCTCCTTTGAGGCTGACTCAGGAAACCTGACTCTCCATCTCCAGGAGAGGATGGCCCACCTGTGGGAAGCCAGGCATGATCCAGGTCCCTGCATGCTCAGGACAAGCAAGATGGGGAGGGGTGGGGTCAGGGAGGAAGTCTCCGAGGGCTATCCTTTCACCAGTGAGCCACAACCGCAACAGGGATTCAGGCGGTCAGGCAGGTCGATGGTGGTAGCCCCGGGCAGGAGATCATGGTGTGGTGACAGGAGTGGCTGATGGCCAAACCAACAAGCTGTCTAGGCAAGTAGCCTAGGCAAGCAGCCTGGCCTTCCCTACTGGCCAGGGAAGCAGTCCTTCTGAGTCAGTGAGAGATGGGGACAGTGAGACCAGGTAGGGCCAAAACACCTGGCTTTCAGCTATTGCTTCTATCTCTGTCTACCTAAGGAGGAAACTGGGACCCTGGAGAGGAACTGTGGGTGTGACACGTGGGGCTGTAGAAGCTTCCTGTAGCTGAGGGTGGAGGCAGGAGTTCTCCTAGAAAGCCTGAATCCTGACCTCTTCCCTGCTTCCAGCTTGAAGTGGGCACTTTTGCAGTCCTGGCTGGAGCAGGAGGTCACAGGGGAAAACAGAGGAAGTCAGAGGCCAAGGTCAGATGTGCAACGCTCCCCATTCTACTTAAGGAGGAGGGCTCTATGCCAGCTTTTGTCCAGGCTAGTGCAAGACTATGGGGGTCCTGGAAGGAGTAAAGGTCAGGATACCTTCTCCACACATATTCGCAAGCCCACGTCAGTCATAAGACATCCGTGCAAGCATCCATGGTGACACACACACTGAGATGTGCCTGAACTGTGCACACATGTAGACACCTATAGATGTATGCTTGCTGCCAGGAAACGCTGATGTCTGAGATGGTCCATGCCACTTACAGTGTCCAAAACCAGTCACTAGTGCATGCACACGGAGGAGCCTGGGTAGGCATAACCAAGTCGCATGCAGATGTGCACACACAGGACTGTATACAGAGGACATGCGTGTACACTTTCCCAGATGTGTATGCACATCCGGGTACACCCCACCTCCAGAAAAGAACAAAAATACCCCGACGGGTACACACAGGCACATCCGCCCCCAAAAGAGTACACGAGATACTTCCGCCCTTGCTGTGTGCCCATGTGCACCCACTCCCGGCTATGCACACCAGTCTGTACTCCCCCAAGATGTGTCCATGCCAGGGGCTCGCGGCTGCAAAGAAGAACAGGAAGCTTCCCTGGAGGGTGCGAGGAAGAGGAGGATGAAGGGACCAAGCGCGCAGCCCTTGGGCCCCTTGTCCGCCCTCCATCTGTCCTCACCATGGATGCCGGTCTGGTGTGCCATGGCTCAGCGTTCGGCTCGCTCGTGCCGCCGGAGCGCTCCGCTTGGTCCTGGCCCGGCTCGAATCGGCTCGCCTGGACCCAGAGCTCTGGAGGATGTGGCGGCAGCGCCGAGCTTCGCGCAGCTTCCCGGGCGGTGCCGCAGGACCCGGACCCGCCCCCAGCACGCTCCGCCCCCGGAGGGCGAGGCCGGCAGAGGCGGGCACTAGTGGCGCGCGTGCGCAGAGCGGGCACCGGGTTCCGGATGGCCGATTCCACGCAATTACCACCTAGAAGGCACGGAGGGGGCCTGCGGGCGCCCGAGGCACCGGTGTGTGGGCGGGCACCGGTTGGCCGCAATCTAGGAGGCCTGTGGGCGGATCCGCGCCTGGGCGTGGGACGGCTGTGTGTTTGCTTAGGAGGAGGTTTGAGAGTGGGGGCCGATCCGAGCGTACCCCAGTTTGTAACACGTGAGGGGATCTCAGCGTTTGCGGCCACGCGCGCGTGTGTGGTCGTGAGTGTGTGTGCGTGCGTGTGTGTTTCTGTGTGTCTTGATCCGCAGACCTTTCTTCACAGGTGGAAGCCTACCGGTCATCAGGTGTACGGAGTATGTGGCGGCTGGAGCCTTACGCTGAGAAAGGGGCCGTAGGAGGACGTGAATTTTGGATGGAATACGGTAGGAGAGGCCGGGATGACCTAGTGGAGTGGAGGAAAGTTTTCCAAAAAGCGGGTGCATATGCTGAGGCTCAGTGGTTCTAAGGACCGGAACTTAGTCCGAGAAACTTTCCAATTCCGAATGAACTTGTCTCGATTATCAGAGGTCTTTTCTGCTATTAGTAAACAGTCGTTTAGCAGCTAGTACTCTTAATTTTTTAAATACTTACTTAAATGAGTTCTCTATCTGCATGTACGACTTTATGTCAAAAGAGGGCGTCAGATTCCACTAGAGATGGTTGGGAACCACCATGTGATTGCTGAGAATTGAACTTAGGACCTCTGGACCGCTGAGTGGTCTCTCCTCCCCCAGTGGCCAGTACTCTTAATCACCGAACCATCTCTCCAGTCCTGAAGTTTGTTGTTTAAGCATAGATAAATGGAACTGGACAGACGTCTCAGCGGTTAAGAGGACTTACTGCTGCTCTTGCATAGGACCGAAGTTTGGCACCCAGCACCTACAGGACGTAACAGCTCACACTTGTCTGTCTGTAACTCCAGCTCCTCTGGCCTTCTAGGACGAGGAACCGATGTACTGCACAGAGATACGCGCTGGCAAGACACTCAGACACAAAAAAGTTTAAAAGTGAAATAAATAGAAACTTTTAAAAAACCATAATTAGGGGGGCTGGAGAGATGGCTCAGAGGTTAAGAGCACTGACTGCTCTTCCAGAGGTCTTGAGTTCAATTCCCAGCAACCACATGGTGGCTCACAACCATCTACAATTCAATCTGGTGTATATGTAATAAATAAATCTTTTTTAAAAAACCATAATTAGTTAAGTGAATGGTTTGGAACTGGAGAGCTGGCTCAGTCAATAAAGTGCCGTGAAAGCATGTAAGATCAGATGCCCAGCACCAGACTGAAGGAACTTGGCTTTACCCTCTGGGCTGGGCAGGGAGACCATGGGGACTATGAGGAGAGGGAGTTCAAGGAGACAGGCCAATACCTACGTGGAACTCATTTGCCAGCCAGCCCAGCTAAATGGAGAGTTCCAAGTTTAGTGAGAAATCTAAAATAAATAAATAAATAAATGAGGTAGATGGCTGATGTCCATCACTGGTGTTCACATTGCACCCAAATAGACACGTGCACACAGTGTATGCATATGCCACACACACAAACAAAATAAAAAAGAAATGACAAGTCTGTGGGAAAACACATGCAATAACTAGTTAAAACAACATCCTAGATCTGGGATATGGCTCAACGACTAGAGCGCTTTTCTAACATTCATGAAGTCCTAGGTTCAGTCTCCAGCACTGCGTAAACCAGGTGTGGTGGCAAACAACCTTAATCCTAGCACTAGGGAGGTAAAAGCAGGCGGATCTCTGTGAATTCAAGGCCATCCTGGTCTACACAGTGTGTTCCAGGCCAGCCAGGGCTACATGGTTAGATTCTGCCTCAAAAATAAATAAATAAATACATAAATAAATAAATGCAAAGAAAAAGTAAAAGGTTTAAGATTATCCTGGGCTACATAGTGAACTCCTGGCCAGCCTGGGCTACATGGAACCATTTCAACAAACAGGCAAGGGGTCATAAAAAAGTCAAATGAAAACTGAACTGTATTTGGGATTTTATTTACCTGTAGACAAATATTTTTAAACTTTGGTAAGAATTGTGATGGTCAGGGATGGCTAAATAGGCTATGGGAGCATTTGTAAAACAGGGCGATGGCAGATCTTGAGTGTGAAATCACCTAAGAACCTTTGAGCTTGTCTGAGGGTATTTCCAGAAGATGAGGGAAGACAGGCTCCAATGTGGCAGCATCCTGTGGGCTGGGGTCTGAATAACTAGGCAAGAGTGGCCTCTTTCTGGCCACAGACACACTGTGCCCAGTTACCTTGCATTCCTCATTGCCCTGCCTTACCGGCTCACGGGCCACACCTTGCCAACGGACTAAATACGCTCTTCCCACAGTTGCCTTTTGTAGATACTTTGTTACAACCTAACTCATTGTATTAATCCTCTCTTTTGTTGGAAGCGGTGGGGGGTGGGGGTGGGGTGAGGTGGTGGGATGTCTGGCTGTAACTTTCTCAGACTTTGTCCCCTCTCATACCTGGACCAGACACCACCTAGCAGAACCTTCCTGTCACCTCAGAGCTCAACATTCTCTGTGTTCCTATGCCCAGGGTGTGACTCACTAGGTGGGCTCAGTAGGTTAGCTCCCCAAGTGACTGGGGTGCAGCTCTGTTTCCTAAGAATCCTCTTTGGGTAGGCGGAAATGCCAGAAGAGCAGGGCTGGTTAGCTGAGGGCAGTGAAGCCTATTGAGCGTTGGCCTGGGTTTGGAGCAGAGGCAAATGTAGGAAAAGCCTCATCCATCCATCCTTGGGCCTTAGAGATTTTGAACTGGCTTCCTGGAGGAGAAAAGAGGAAGAGAAATCCCTTGAGGGGTGGTCTGACTCAGCTGCATCGTCACACTGCAAACCCTGGGCATCTAAACTTCCCCTCCGTGGGCCTGAGTCCTCCCTTATGAAATGGAAATTGCAGCCTTGCAGAGGGGCGCGAGGACTTAGGTGACGGAAAGTGACAAGTGGTCTTTAATGTGCAGACATAAAGGGGAACGCTGCTTAGAGGTTAAGACATTCTGAGCCAGGGTGATGGCACTTGCCTGTAATTGTAGTACTTGGAAGGCAGAGGCACGAGGCAGAGTTTGAGGCCAACCTGGTTTACACAACGAGTTCCAGGCTAGCCTGGGCTTCATGGTACGTGCCTGCCTCAAAACAACAGAGATATCTGAGAAATGCATACACTTCCCTCAGTTCAAGGTTGAATGCTCCCCTTTAAATTCCCATAGGTTCCTCTTGTCACTAACACTCCACGGAGAAACTTGTGCTGTCAGACAAGCCATTTGGGAGCGGGCCGCTGAGGATGAAGAGCAGAGTGAACAGAACTCTGGAGCACTCTGCACGTTCTTAGTCAATGTGTCGTCTCACACCTCCAAGGACATACTGTCCGCATCCTCCCCTTGCGTTAGAAGGTGGCTGGCAGCAAGAAGCTGTCTAGCAGCGCCAGTCTGAGGCTCTGTGTGGCACTCGCCCAGCACCCACTGTAGATAACTCCACGGCTCCCCTCAGAGGTTCGAGTCCCTCAGGTGTGGGTGAGCCTTCGCGCCTGCTCAGTGCTGCTCTGACGCAGGAGGCGGCTTCACCTCGCTAGAGAGGCCTCAGTTTTCCTGTCTGTAAAGTGGGGTGGGTGACTGCGTTCCTTCTTACAGGCTATGGCTCTGCTCACTGATCGCACAGCCTGGGGCGGGAGGACCAGGAGGAGGCGTGGCCCCAAGGCTCCACCCCCAGTCCCGCTTCCTCTCTGGGGCGGGCGGGACCCGGGCGGCCCGCTCTGTGCGGGCAGCTCCCGGCTACCACGCAATGTCCGCCGGCTGGTTCCGGCGCCGCTTCCTACCCGGGGGTCCACTTCCCGAGCCGCGGCCAGCGGGGCCGCGCTCCAGCCCGGTGCCCTACCACCGGCCCCGCTTCCTGCGCGGCTCGGGCTCCAGCCCCAGTGCCACCGACGCCTCGCGCCGCCCTGACCCCCGACCTGTGCGCAGCCCGGCGCGGAGCCGCACTCTGCCTTGGAACGCAGGCTATGCCGAGTGAGTGTCCCTGCCCCCGCGACCTCTCCCTACCCCCTTCTTGATCTCGCCGGGTTTTGTGCTGACCTAGAAAACTGGCCGAGTGTGGACACGCCCGCTACCCCACTTCTTGTTGTCACCCCGGGACTCTTGACAACATTCTTCATTTTCCCACTCTCGCATTTTCTTTTGGAGAAGGTTGGAGGTCCCGGGAGGGCCATCACCCGACTGGACCCTCCTTTATTGTGTTTGGAGATGTGTGTCCTACCTCGCATCACACTCTGGGTTTGGCCTATGCTCTATGGGTTAGGGTTGGGACAGAGATGAAACCTCACAAACCCTGGGCCAGCCTAGTGATTCTAAAAGGCCCGGGTTCTGATTTTGACCCTAGTGACAAAGCCAGTGAACAGTTGAAAACTTCCATCATTGGGCTGTGTAAAATAATTGGCTTGCAGAGCAAGCATGAGGATCCGAGATCCGATTTCCAGCAATCTTGTAAATAGCTGGGTGTGTCGGTTGGGGCCTGTAATCTCAGCACTGGGGAGGCAGAGGCAGGAAGATGCAGGACTTGTTAGTCTAGTTGAATCAGTGAGCCCCGTGTTTAGTAAGAGACTGACCGCCTCATAAAACTACGGTGGAGGGCAATAGAGGGAGACACCTGACATCCACCTCTGGCATGTGGACACCCATGCACACTCACACAGAATAACTTTAAAAAAAAAAAGTTGTCCAGGTGTGTCAGAGATAGCACTCAGAAGCAGTTGTCCCAGGTGGCATCTCTGTGCCCACAAGGACATAGATGAGACATCACTGGTGATTTCATGGCCTCAGGATTATCAATGCAGAGAAATCTGAGTTCAATGAGGATCAGGCTGCTTGTGGGAAGCTGTGCATCCGGCGATGTGAGTTTGGGACTGCAGAAGATCAAGAGTGGCTGACGGTGTGCCCAGAGGCGGTGAGTACAGCCCTGCCTGAACCCCACTCTCAGGCTAGGACCAGGATGTGCTTGGTGGAGCCTGACAGTCCGTCCTATGCAGTTCCTGACAGGTCATTACTGGGCACTGTTTGATGGACATGGTGGACCTGCAGCAGCCATTTTGGCTGCCAACACCTTGCATTCCTGCCTGCGACGGCAGCTGGAGGCTGTGGTAGAAGGCATGATGGGCACTCAGCCCCCCATGCATCTCAGTGGTCGCTGTGTCTGCTCTAGTGACCCCCACTTTGTGGAGGAAAAGGGCATTCGAGCAGAAGACTTGGTGATTGGGGCCCTGGAGAGCGCCTTCCAGGAATGTGTGAGTGGGGCCTTTGGGGAGAAGAGAAGTTTTCACCTAGGGACATAAGCAACTGGGTATAACTGCATACCATAGCCACCCTATTCCTTGGGTTGTGGAGAGATGGTTGTATTGATTTGTCCGTTCCTAGTCATAGCCTGTGGTCTTCAGCTTAGCCAGTTCCTACTGTGTGCTAAGTGCTCACCTGGGTTGCCGTTGGCCCCCAGAGCAAGCACTGGTTTCTCTTCCTATTTTGAGTTACACTTCCCTTGTGTAAATTCTCTGTACACAGGAATTCCAGAGCTAATAACGGCCAAGCTTTTGAGCTGGGATGTGTAGCCCTGCTTGTGGGAATGTGATTGTAAGGGGTGGGGGTGGGGTGGGGGCTGCAGATTGTTGCCGGTTTGGGCAGCAGCTTTGATGCCTATGGTTTGCTCTAGGATGACGTGATTGGGAGAGAGCTGGAGGCCTCAGGCCAGGTGGGTGGCTGTACAGCCCTGGTGGCTGTGTCCCTGCAGGGGAAGTTGTATGTGGCCAATGCTGGGGACAGCAGGTGAGTGGACCCTTGGAAGGTAGGCAGGGTAGTGGCAGGAGGATAACCAGAGGGGGTTAAGACAGTGCAAGGAGGGGGCTGGAGAGATGGCTCAGAGGTTAAGAACATTGACTGCTCTTCCAGAGGTCCTGAGTTCAATTCCCAGCAACCACATGGTGGCTTACAACCATGTGTAATGACATCTGCTGCCATCTTCTGGTGTGCAGACAAGATGTTGTTGTATTCATAATAAATAATCTTTAAAAAAAAAAGAGTGAAAGGAGGGTTAGAAATGAGGGGGACGGCTGAACTAGATTAAGTATAAAGATGGACAGAGGCTGCACCTTGACTCTGTGGGTCTTAGGCAGTCATGGAGAATTTGAACAAGGGATCAGCATGGCCAGAGTGGCCCCTGGTGGTTGGAGAGGGGTGGTAGGAGGGCGGCCATGGGTGAGTACAGAAGTCGTTTCATAGACCTTCCCTGCCTCCAATCTGCTTAGAGCCATCTTGGTGCGGAGAGATGAGATACGGGTGCTGAGTTCTGAGTTCACCCCAGAAACAGAGCGGCAGCGGATCCAGCAGCTGGTAGGCAGTCTTGGCAAAGGGACCCCCAACTCCCTGGGTCAAGGGCCACCTGGGAAGGGAACCTAATCTGAAATTGGCCTCCACACCCTAGGCCTTTATCTACCCTGAGCTTCTGGCTGGTGAGTTCACCCGACTGGAGTTTCCACGGCGGCTGAAGGGGGATGACTTAGGGCAGAAGGTTTTGTTCAGGGATCATCACATGAATGGCTGGTGAGCTGGTGGGATGGGGGGCAGGGTGGGATAAGGTCCAGGCTCGCCTGTATGTCCTGAGGCAGTCCTGCTTGGGCGAGGTGGACTTATGAAGGTGTGGTAGCTGGGTTTGGGGATGGGAGAAGGTGCAGTAGGGTGTGCGCCTTTGGCTAATTCTAGGTCTGCTCCTGCAGGAGCTACAAACAGGTGGAGAAGTCTGATCTCAAGTACCCACTGATTCACGGACAGGGTAGGCAGGTCAGTGGCCACTGGCCAAGAATCCCTCTTTAGTTGCTTTCTGAAGCTGGGAGCTCTTTTGTCCCTTACTGGTGGCTGTGGCTGGTACCCTGGGGTCTATTCCCTCATGTTTCTCCCTTAGAAACCACCATTCATGTCCCCCTTTGTGTTCAGCAGAGCCAGACACCAGGCATGTGCTAAGCTCCTCACTATCACTGCATCCCTCCCTTTCCCCCAGGCTCGGTTACTAGGAACACTGGCTGTCTCCCGAGGCCTGGGAGATCACCAGCTCAGAGTCCTGGACACCAACATCCAGCTCAAGCCCTTCCTGCTGTCCATCCCACAGGTGATAGAGCGGTGTAGCCCACCCCAGCTGCCAACTGCTCAGAAAGGGCAGACAATGAACCTGGTAGGAGCTGGGAAGGGAACACTGGAAGATCCTCAGGCTTAACTTGCAGGTGACTGTGCTGGATGTGGACCAGCTGGCACTGGAAGAGGAGGATGTGGTCGTCATGGCAACTGATGGGCTCTGGGATGTCCTGTCCAATGAGCAGGTGGCCCGGCTTGTGCGGAGCTTTCTCACTGGGAACCGAGAGGACCCACACAGGTACTATAGCTGAGGGGGACCTGACTGGATGTGGGTTGATCCAAGTAGCTACAGTTGGGAAGACAGTACTAACTTAGGGCAGGTGGCCTGATCAGGGCTCAGGTGTCCCAAGGGAGAGGGGAGATGAGCAAAAACAACCTGTCTAGTCTTATAATCTAGTTTATGGCCCTTCCAGGCTTGTTGATTGTCCTACATGTTAAGGGGTCTCCCAGGTGTCCTGTCATGAGCACTGAGTCCTGGAGGGCTGGCTCTGGCTTTCTGCCTTATCCCCAAAGTACATCTGCAGAATGATCTTTACAGGTTCTCAGAGTTGGCCAAAATGCTGATACACAACACACAGGGGAAGGACGATGGTGCCACTGGAGAAGGGCAGGTGTCCTACGATGATGTCTCTGTGTTCGTGATTCCATTGCACAGCCAGGACCAAGGGAGTGGTGGCCACTGAGGACTCTATAACCTCTTCTGGACCAGTGCAGTCTGGGCATATGTCCACTGTGGCCAAGAGTGGGCCCTGCCTGGTCTTTCCCCAGCCACAGCCCATGCTCTTGCTTTCTGTCTTTATCTGTTTCAAAGAGAACATTGGGTGGAAAGCCTAGCCTACCAGGTCCCACCTTCTGCAATGGTAACAGCCCTCTGGCAGAGGTACTTTACAACATATGGTATCTGCTGGCTCCTCAGCAGCCTAAAGGGTTTAGGGGTGCTAAGATGCTTTGGGGAGTAGGTAGCTAGCTCATTTCTTCCAACCCATGAATGTCAGGGCATCCATTCAACCATCCATCCGCACAAAGTGCCTTCTGGAAACCTCTGGTTAATCTTACATCTGCTGGATCAGTTCTCTTTTAACTTTTTTTTTTTTTTTAAATGATAGGGTCTCTATTATGTTGTTTTGGCTGTCCTGGAACTTGCTATGTAGACCAGGCGGCCTTGAACTCAGAGATCACCTGTCTCTGCCTCCTGCATACTGGCTGGACTAGCAATCTTGAAGACAGTTTCTGAGACCAGTTCAGATCTTGCCCTGCTCTCTGCCCGTGGAGGGCACAGGTCCCAGATAAAAGTTGGGAAAGCAAAACAGGGTAAGAGGCTTTCAGAGTTGGCAAGGCCTGGAGTCTGGATGCTAATCTGGTTGCTTTTCCCCATTCCCAGGCTTGCCCTATACCTATGCCAACTGTGTTGTTCTCCAGATCTTATGCCAAATACATATACTTCTTAGCTAGCCAGTTCTTGTTTCTAACCCTCCACTTTTAGTGGCCTAGCATCCTTCCCACCCCCTCTGCTGTCCTCCTGCCCACTCTACCCTGCCCAGCCTCCAAGGATTCCCTCACCTCTCCCCCAGCACTGACCACATACAGCTTTCCCTGGAGGAACTCAGCCAGCCTCTGGCATTAAATGTTTGTATATAAAAGAGCCCTTGTGAATCATGAACCGCTCAGCTTTGGTCAACATATTTTGCCACTTCTGTGGCCTCTCAGTGGATTCCTTTCAGTCCCACCATGCAAGTGTGCATGTAATCAGGACTGTTTCCCATGCTCCGCTCCCTCGTTGCTGCTAGGGAATGAAAAGGCCTTTAATACAACTGTGAACTCTGGATTTTAGGCACCAAAAGGAATCACTCCAGTTTTTAAAAATTGTTTTGCAAGTTTGTGTAGCCTTGGCAGTTCTGAAACTGTATTGTGGTCTCAATTTTGTGATTCTTTGGCTTCTGCCACTAGAGTGACAGGTTTCTTACTGTGTAGGGTAGGCTGGTTTGAAACTTACAGAGCCTAAGTTGGCCTTAGTCTAAATACTGAGTTACAGGTGTGGACCATTTCCAGACTCCTCACTTATTCCTGGGTGACCTAGTGCTATACATTTTGAGTTAGTAAGGGCTTCACATAGGCTGCTTGATGAAACTTCTTCATCTTCCCTTTAATTAAGACTTGCCAGCCCAGCATGGTGACTATACAGAGAAACCTCGTTTTGATAAACCAAACTAAAACCTGTCACCATCTAGAACTTACCGAGGTTCAGAAGTATCTGTTGAAATACAGTATTTATTACATGAATTTTACCTGACTCACTCCTAATACAATCAAGGAGGCTTCAGGCAACACACAGCAGGAAATTTAAATCTAAGATGAGGAAATGGGGTCTGAGCATCACAGGTAACTACACAAGCCTTCTAACTGCAATCTAGAGCTGTGTGTTGAGGCCACAATACAGGACAGAACACACTATTTTCTACTGCCTGTGTAACATACAGACCCCCAGCTGGCCCACTAAGCTCCAGACAGGTGCTAGCTAGAGTCACTGTTTAAGGCTGTTGAATTTGGCTACTTCTTCAGCACATCCCTTCACAGCCTCTCAGCAAAGTGCAGGCAACACCCTGTGCCTGCCTCTTGCCCACACCAACTGCTGAGCCAGCTCGCCCTCATACCCTACTGCCTGTTTCCCTTGTTTACACACTATGAGTGGGCACACCAAGCCTCTCTATTGCATGTTAGAGTAGTGGCTGCAGCAGGCTTTTCTTATGCTGTGATTTTTGTGTGCACATGACATGTGGAAATCTAAGGACATGGAATCTAGGGACTGAACTCAGGTTGTCATGCTTACGTGGCAAGCACTTTCAGCTGCTGATCCACAGGCTTTGAGGGGTCTCTTAAGAGTAGACCAAGCTGGGTGTTGGTGGCGCACGCCTTTAATCCCAGCACTCGGGAGGCAGAGACAGGCAGGTCTCTGTGAGTTCGAGGCCAGCCTGGTCTACAGAGCCGATTCCAGGACAGCCTCCAAAACAATACAGAGAAACCCTGTCTCGAAAAAAAACAAAAGAGTAGACCAAGCAGGAAAGCTGGTTCAAATAAAGTCATTTTCTTCCCAAGTGACAGGCCAAGGTTTTTACTTATTCTGGTTTCTGGAGTTGTAACAATTCCCAATGCATTAGCCAACTAGGCAGCCAGCTGATCTGTCAGATGCAATGCTCATCTTCCATCAAGCATGGCCCTAGGATGTCAACCTGATTAAAGTTTGAGGTGAACAGCGCAAGGCAGACAGTGAGAAGGTCTCTGAAGACCAGGGTTGAGTCAGGCTCACCTCCAGTCACTCATTATTTGCCCTGTGGTAGTTTAATTGGAGTCTGGGATTAAGAGATGGGCCCAGGAGGTTCCTGTTGCCCATAGGCCTGAAGGAGGCCCAACAGCTTACACAACATTGCAGGCACCTGAGTTAGAACATTGGTACAATGTATCCCTTGTGATGCGAAGCTCGCAAATGTTACAGAAACCCAATGGAGAGACTGTAAGCCATAAAATCCTGTTTAAGACTGGTAACATGGCAAAAAAAGTTTATATGTTAAGTACAAAAGGGACATAAAATTGTATGTACAGTAGGATAACAACTATGTAAACACACCAAAGTCTATGCACAGAGATATCTAGAGGAACATTTAGCATCAAGATTAACAGTGGTACATTTGGGTGGCAAACTGGTTCTTAGAAATCCCCAAATTTTCCTTCATAAGCAGTAATTGTCAGTTACAACGGGGAATAATTTATTAAGAAACACCCCAGTGGCTGGTGGTTGAACAGTGCAGTGTCAGCTGTCACTTATGGAGCAGTGGCTCTGGCTGAATTTTTGGAGGATGCTGAATACCACCCAGGGACACATCTCTAAATTGTCAACTCTGCTTTCTGCCTCGCGCTTAGCCTGTGGCCATATAGTATCATAAGTTTCAGCTGCATCTTTTCCTACAAATTCAGAATTCAGTTCTGCTGCCACAGGGGCCCAGCAGAGACTGTGAGGCAGTATGTCTTCCAAGAACATGGTGCCTCAGCTTTGGACACTCAGGAATGCAGACAATCTCCCTGTGGCCAGGCAAGCCACTCTACTTTCAGGTTATGCAGCCTTACCAATCCATAGTTAACAGACATTTGCTCTCAACAGTTCCTCCAAACATGGACTCTTAGATCCTGAAGGTAGGCAGTAATATCTCTAATCACCTGGTTTCTATAGTCTGTCCACTCGGGGAAAGCAGGACTGCTCAGCAACACTTAATCGTCTTCAAGTGAAGGTGGCCACTTTTACAGTTGGAATAACAAGCCAAACATTGCTTAAAAAATAGTTGATTTGAAGCCTATGCCTGCTCCTAAACAGAATCAGTGATGGGCTGACTGACACCCTAGCAGCTGGGTACCCATGGGCAAATCATAGCCTGTTTGGTCTTGATTTCTGTATCTGCAGGGGTATTGCTTGCATAAATAAATGGTAGACTACCATCTGTTCCACTCTGCGGTGGCCATACTGGGAAGTAAAGGTCAGCTGCAGGTCTTCTCAGTCTGGTCCTAGCCTTCTCTCGGGAGAAAGCAAGAAAAAAGGGCAACAATGGTGACATAAACAGCTGAGAAGCTCTGACAAACTAAAAACACCGTGGTTCTAAGCACCCTGTCCCCAAATGCCACAAGCCAGGCACAGAAGCCATGCAAAAAGTGACTGTCACACATATACAGATGCAGACAGGGCATAATCAGGCAAAAAAGATTCTAATACTGTAGAGAGGGCCCCGAAGTGTGGCTTGATTGAAGAGCACAAGGGAGTCATCTCAAGGCTCTTACATAGCTGCCATGAAACGGCAAACACTAGAAGCTCTGCTTCACGTTGTCTCCCTAAGGTTGAGAGAAGACTAACACTTGTGGCAAACACTACCCACAGATAGTCTTTCTCGGCTGCAGGGTTCCCTCTCCTGCTGAACTCTTGATAAACTAGAGAGAGAGATAGTAGGCATATACATATACTCAGGTGCATATTTAAGTGGACACGCACACTGTGCTCAAATACAAACAGATCAAGGATCATATATATAAAAAAGGCTAAATATAACATATAACACAGGCCTAGAGCCAGCTCTTGGATAAGAGCTGGGGAAGAGGGGTGTCATCTGCTGACTATGTACACAATTTGTGGTGGGCAGGGAAGGAAGGCATCAGTGTAAACAACTCAAACTCATTCCACAATACTGGCCCACAGGAAAACGTGATGTGACTCAGGTACAAAAATAAACTGCTACCTTGCTTTTGTACAAGCCAAGCTCGGTAGGACCCCCACAAAACGACTGTGGGACTGTCTTGATGGGGGAATTGCACCAGGCTGCTAAGCCTTTCAGATCTCAGAATTTACCTGCTACTCCCTTCCCTCCCTTTCAGACTCTTGGGCCTTTTGCTAGCCAACATCCAAGCCCAAGATCTGCCCCACCCACCTACCCAGGAATACTTTAAAGCCTCCTGACAAAGTCCTGTATTTGTCCCGTTCTTTGACCCCATGGTATATGAAGACTTATTTTTGTAAATGTTTGGCACCTAAGAAACATGATGGTTGTGGAATAATGCCACAATTACACAACAAGGAGACCCAGTAACAAGACATGCAGGGTGAGGGCAAGGGGTGCTGAGCTGCCCTAGCATCTCAAAACCAGAACTGTGGCTTCCCATGCATCTCTGGGTGGGAGAAGGATGTGCAGAAATTGGTGACTTCACTGGCTCTTCAGCAGCAAATATATTCAAAATTGAAGGGGCTAAAGGGCCTCACTGTAACCTAATCCTAAGTAGTCACCCTCTGAAGAGCTTGGTGCAGTGAAAGCTGGAAAGGCTGAGTGCCAACTGAATGTGCAGCACCAAGAGTCCTTTGGAAGGCGCTCAGCAGAGTAATTCTTTAGAGATGGACAGCACACCCCTGGGAAGGCCGTGTGGAAAGATGTTCTCCAGTCCAGTCAGTCCCACTGTCATCTGTCACCTCTGACTTTTTCCTGGTGGTCCCTCAATGTACGAATAGCCGAGCAGTGTCAGGGTCAGGGTCAGTCATCAATAGTGGGCAGCCAGAAGGCCTGGAGGGAGAACACAAGTCAGTTTCTTAGACGTCAGGCTTCTCACTATGGAAGGTAGTTCTTCACCTCACAGTTATCAAGGTGCCCAACCCCGATGAAGGAATTATGGTCTGGTAGCCCTTACTTGTGATCAAACTATTGTCTCCACGGAGCCAGAGACACTCACTCCTTACCTTGCACCACCGTGGCCCTGTGTTTTTATTGTACGAGTAACCTGGCCGCACAGCTAATCTCAAGGTGGCCTCAGTCATAGCCTTTCCTTCCAAAATAGAAAGGAGGTTTGGATGAGGTGGTTTTGCTGCCTTTGAGGGCTGGGTAGCTTTTTGGTTTTTCATGATCTCAAACTCACTATATATATGAGCAAAGATGATGGACGTGAACCTTCCAAATGCTTAAATTACAAGTGTGTACCAAAACATCCAGCTTAAATTAGTTTTCCTTCCGTCCTTCCAGTCTGGAGGACTGAAAACCCAGCCAGCGCTTCATAAATGGGAGGCACATGCTCTAACTAAGGTATATTTCCAGTCATTGCTGCATTTCTGATACCTTCTTGGTTTCCAAAAACAAGAAATGGGCTAGAGGTGCAGCTCAATAGTAGAGGTCCCAGGCTCAAGTCTCAACATTAGAAGAAGGGGAGGCACTATGCTCTGGAAAAAGGCAGCAGTGAAATACCTCATCCAAGACCCCACTTGGAGATGGACAGATTGCAAAGGAAGCTGTAGACCAAGAATCACCTATCTCCCATCTCCAGTTAATTCTGTTTACGAAAATTACATTTGTTTGTGTATCATGGTATGAGTAAAGGCCAGAAAACACTTGTGAGAGTTGATTTTCTCCTTCTGAGTTCCAGAGATCAAACTCAGCTTGTCAGGTTTAATAGTAAGTACCTCTATACCCTCAGAGCTGTTTTCTTATTTTTAGTTTGTGTTTGAGATAGGCTCTCATATAGCCCAGGCTGGACTGAACTCCTGGTTCTCTTGCCTCTACCTCCCAAGAGCTAAGATTACTATGTCTGCCACTAAGCCTGATGTTTGATTCCTGGAAACCACATGGCATAAGAAGAGAATCAATTCTCACAAGTCATCCTTTGACCTCTACAGGCGTGCCATGGCACATGTTCAAGAATACACAAAATAAAAACAAAATGAGGTTAGGCATGGTGGTGAATACTTTTAATCCCAGATCTTGGGAGGCAGGTGGATCTCTGAGTTCAAGGCCACCCCAGTCTACAAAGAGTTCTAGGGCAGTTAGGTCTACAGAGACCCTACCTCAGATAAATAAAATATATTAAGAATTAATAAAAACAAAGTAAGTGCATAAATGGATAGTTAAGAACCACTAGAATAGGGCCAGGCGTTGGTGGCACACGCCTTTAATCCCAGCACTTGGGAGGCAAAGGCAGGCAGATCTCTGTGAGTTCAAAGCCATCCTGGTCTACAGAGCGAGTTCCAGCACAGCCTCCAAAACACAGACACCCTCTCTCGAAAAACCAAAAAAAAAAAAAAAAAAAAAAAAAAAACCTAGAATAATTTTTTGGGAATTCAATGGCAAAGAATGGAAGTATGGTGACTCACACTTCTCATCTCAGCATTCAGGAGGCTAAGGCAGGTAGACTAATCTGAGTACATGGTCAGCCCAGGCTAGAGTGACAGACTTTATTTCCAAATGCCAAAACAAAATAAAATCACGAAAAAGTACACCTATAAAAAGGTCAGTCAGAATATTTTAAGGAGTAAAATTAATGTCAAAAGAACCTGAATACCTTGGTCTTAAAACCCAATGGCCAGAGCAAAAACTGCTCTGCAAATCTCTTTGGAGAGCACAGATGATCCTGTTTTACTGGAAGAGGAATAAAAGTGAAAAGACCAGCCTACTCAGGTGTCTGTCTCATGATGTGGGGGTTTATAGGGAAGCCACCTCTTCTGAAACATGAACTTGTACTATGTGGATGGAACACAGCTTGCTGTCTTGAGGCACCCACCACCACAAACCAAGAGGATCCTAAT